TATATATATATACACACACACGTGTGTGTGTGTGTATGTGTGTGTACATTCTTTTCCTCTAGTGAACCCTAGCTTATAAAACTGTGAGGTACTGCCTTTTTTCCTCATGTCTGCTCTGTTGCACTTACAGAGATAAAGACTTGACCACTAATTTTCATACCTGATTGCTCAAGAGTCTAAGAGCTGGCAACCAGGCAACATATTTAGCTTGAACAGAGAAACCTCATTGTGTTGTTACTGTGCTTAGTTCTACTGTTATCCCTTACTCTGGTAAATGATATAGTTCTCTTTCAGACATGAGTATCCTCCTAACTAATTATTTGATAAAAAATGATGAGAGACTGATGTGGAAATATTAAGAGTGGATTTACACTGGGGAAGGGGAATGTGCTTATAACCCCAATACTTGGGAGGCTGAGCTAGAAGGATTGCTAATTCAATACTGGCCTGGACTATGTAGCAAGACCCTATTTCAAAAAAACAAAAACAAAACCCATACCAAATCAAAAGCAAAACCAAAACCAAACAAAAAGAGTGGCTGTGGGACAGCATGAGGTGGCCAGTGGCTGTCTGATGCTCATGCAGGTACTGAGGATAGGTAAACCACAATAACTCAGGGCTTCAGGAACAACTGGTCTTCAAAAGGCCTGATGTCCACAGTACCCATACTGCTTCACGTTGGAAAGCACATGTCTGAGAGTGGTCTCAGGGCATACTTACGTCCCGAATGGCTTCATAGAGTGCTCTGAAGGTTGGCTGCTTGTCATCATGGTACACGCCCCTGTTCCCATGAAGGACGGACACTCCCTCCCGCTCAGCCTCCTTGCAGTTGCTCCCATACATGCAGTGATCGGGACGGTAGTTCCACTGGCAGGGAAACACATGGAGACACTCTGGGGGTGACAAGAGAAAGACCGCCACAGTCAATGCTGGCTCTCATGTATGTGTCTGGCAATTGCACCTAATGTTCCCATAAACTATGTACTCTATGTGGCTGCAATGCACCGAAATTGACCAAACATCAGCACTTTGGCAAAAATCCTCAGACCAAGGATGAAAGGTGATAAAAGGTGATCAAGTGATCAGGATATATATGTGTGTGTGTGTGTGTGTGTGTGTGTGTGTGTACACACACACATTCCCAAGAGAATTTAATTACCTATCATAAACTTAGATAATTTAAAAAATTCTAACATCAAGAACCTAGTACTAATGATGTAGTTTTTATTTTTTTTAAAGTGACAGCAGCATATTTGACAAGAACACAAACCAGGGCATCAGACAGACTGGGTCCGAAGCACAACACTTTCCCTAAGAAAAAAAAAATCTAGGTGGTCACTTCATGTTCTGTGCTTTAATTTCTTCATCTGTAAAAGGGCACTAAGAGAACCTTCCTCTTATTTTGATGACTATACTTTTAAAATACATGGAAAATGCTTAGCAGAGTGTCAGGCACAAAGTAGTATTCAATAGTGTTTGCAGTCATGCTCAACTCTGCAAAGCTTTTATGAAATGGACAGTGCTATAAAATAAGAGTCTAGATGGACACAAAGATTTCTATTCAAATTAAAAACAAAAACTAAACTAAATACATTTATAACAGCAAAGAGAAAAATCCAAAGTGAAAAATGAAAAAAGAAAAAAAAAGCCCGTTGCCTTGGTGACTTTATGTATCGTGCTATGTTTGTGTGTTTGAATCTCTAAACAAGTGTTTCTTTTCCTCAGTACTGAGTTCTGAGTACTGAACCCAGGGTCCTTGCACTGAGCTATATATCCCCAGAGCTTTTTTTTTTTTTTTCCCTCAGAGCTTTTTTGAGGCAGGATCTTGCTAAGTTACAAAGTTGCCCAGGCTGGGCAGGAATTTCTTCCTGCCTCAGATTCCCAAGAGCTGAGATTACAGGCGTGGACTAACACCCTAGTACAAGAGGTTCTGAACCTGGGTTGGTTCCACACCCTCACACATGCCTCTGAGGCTATTTGGCAAAATCTGGAGGGAGAGACTGTTGGTTATTGGCTTTTACATATGTGGGAGATTGGGACTGGTGCCTGGTGGGTCCCCTAAACATCCTATAGGGAGCAGGGTGCTCTCCACACCCTACAATGAACACAACCCCCCCCCCCCCGCATTATAGATGTGCTGAAACAACTCTGTTTTAATTCTACGGGACTCAAAAATTCCGTTTGGTGACTCAGGTTATACAATTAGCAATAAGGTCACCCTCACCCCCAGATTCCTGGCTCTCCAGCTAATGACTTTTAGGGCTCGGACCAGAGAAGACTGGATCAAAAGTCTCTGCAAACATGTCATTGATCATGAGAAAGATCCCGTGAGAGCACAGAAGGGTTGAAGCCAATCAATAACACTAGTGAAAGCACTGCTTCAAGATGAGCTCGTTTTCGCAGCTGTGGGAGCTGCAGAAAGCTTCAGATGGAAAGAGAAGGATGACGAGATCATCACATCTGTCTGTAGATGGCATACCATATTTCTGTGGTTCACTCTTCATGATCCTGAAGCATCCAGGGCCCCTCTGTCAAACCCAAATTGTGCACAACACACTGAAACTTTCTTCCAGTCAGGAGGACTCCACTCTGCCACTCTTCTGTTACCTACATTTACCTCCTCATTTACACACACACAGTCATGAGTGGGATGGGGCAGCGGACATCCAAAAGTTCCACTAGCTAAACACGAACCCAGGGCCAGCCAAATAGCTCAGTGGATTAAAGCACCTGCAAGCAGGCACAGGGGCCGGGGGTTCGATCCCTGGGCCTGCCGTGCTGGCCCCGCCCCCGGGGCACAGGCAATTGAGGCTGGACATGGTTGCCTGCACCTGTAATCCTAGCTTTTGGGAGGCTGTAAACAGGTGGATCAGGATCACTACAAGTCTAATCTAGTAATGAGACCCTGCACACTCTGTATACCCTTCTCTAAAATAATAAATAAATAAATAAATAAATAAAGTGAACCCAATGGCTCTATTAGCTGTGTGAGCTCTCCTATACTCTAGTACAGAGGGTTGGCGTGAGGACTAGAATATCTCAGTTGCTTTTGAATCGTGCCTCATATAACCCAGTTACTCCCCTTTGCAATACAGTAGGTTAGAGGACTCTTTTATGATGCCCACCTGGTAACCTGCAAAAGCTCCCAGCTGAATGAACTGCCTTGGAACTGATTTCTGTTTTTGTAAATATATTGATTGATAAAAATAAAACCATTTCTTGAGTGCCTGCTATGGGTACTGTGGGCAAAGCCAATAATGGAAAAGGCTAGTGTTTGCTTTTGTGATGCTTGCAGTCTGGAAATGCAGGCTTTTGTTTCTCTCCAAGTACTTCAGGTCTCAGCTGCACAAGGAAACAATTTCTCTCTCTGCAGCATCCCTCAAGGAGTAAGCCCAGTAAGGGATATGCAATAGCAGAAGATAAAGTGGAAATGGTGTAAGCATTGGAATAAAACAAATACAGACTCTGATTTGGCTTTTACCCCTTCCTAGCTGCGTAATCTTGGTGAGTTACTGAAATACTTGACCCAGGTTCAGAAGCAGTGAAGAAGGCAATTCTCCAGACTCGAGCCCCAGCATCCCCATGTGCTAGCTGCGATGTAACAGCAAAATGCCCCAGAGAGCCGGCTCGAGTCAACCCATTGGATTTGGAAACAGAACTCTGCCACTATGTGAGTCTACTTAAATTACCATAATTCTGGTGCACTCTGGTCCCATCACCTATAGAATGGGAAAAAAATCAAGCATATTAGCCGCTCACTGGATGTGAAGGAGTACTAAGTGAATTCATTAACATACACCCTTGGAAGAGTGCCTGACACGTAGAATGCACAAAATACATGTAAGTGATGATAATCACCAGCGCTGCACTAGCAACAAGACGACTGCATTAGACTGCCGGAAGGATACAACAAGATGACTTAAACTGAACAGGCCTAGAATATTTTCCGATATGTAAGCTTTCTGTGATAAATGTTTACTCTGCTTGCTTCCAGATATGCAGGTAGCTAGCATTCTGGGCTTTTTGTGGGTCACAAACCTCTCTGGGAATCCAATAAAAGTTTTAGACTCTGACTTTGGAAAAATACTGGGAACATATAAAAACCTGCAAAGAACATTTGCTTACAAGTTTGGGAATGTATAGGTCCCTTAAAAGCCAGCTACAAACCTTACCTGTTGAATCTCAAATATGAAATAAAATTCAAGGCAGAGTTCATTTCACATATTCACACCCCCTTCTAAATTTTCCACATCAAAAAAAAAAAAATTAAAAAAAAATAAATTTTCCACATCAAGAAATGAAAATTAAAAGAACAAAAAGAAATGAAAATTATATAGAACACACAATCAAAACGAGTGGGGCTGGGGAGATGGCTCAGTGGAATAAGCGCTTCCCTGGCAAGTGCAAGGCCTGAGTTCAATCCCTGGTTCCACAAAAAAAAAACAAAAAAAAAAACCCGAGTATTTGTTCACCACATTCCTGCAAGGCATTGGTGTCTCAGGATGATAAGGGTTTATGCTCTTGTAAGGGGAGAAATGCATGCAAAGTGAACATTTATTATCAGGGCTCAGAGGAAGGACAGTTCACTACTGACAGGTGAGATGAGGGGATGTTTCAGTAAAATTTCATTTAAACTCTGTGTTTTAGGGCCAGCCAGATAGCTCAGCAAACTAAAGCATCTGCTTAGGCAGAGTGCAGAGGCCGGGGTTTGATCCCCAGTGTGCCATGCCGGCTCTGCCTCCAGAGAGCACTGAGAGGGCAATTGAGACTGGGTGTGGTGATGCACACCTGTAATCCAGCACTTGGGAGGCTGAAAACAGGAGAATCACTACGAGTCTGATCTGTGTAGTGAGACCATGTAGGCCCTGTCCTAAATACATTAAAAAAATAAATAAATAAAAATAAAAAATAAACTCTGGGTTTTAGTAAGAATGAAATTCTGACAGAAGCAAAAATCTGTAAGAACATCTAGGTTGGAAAAAATAGCCTGATTATAGTATAATATTTGGAAATCATAGTGTCCTTCAGGAAAGTAAACTACCTTAGTTTTGCCAGTGCAAAGGTAGTCTCTTTAAAGAGGAAGAAAATAATGTAAAAGTTGATATATATGACCTTGGCTGAAAATATTCAAGATACAGAAATCTTTATCAGGTAGCAAATCATTAACTTTGGTTCTAGAATGTGAAGCGATAAAGGAGGGGTTTACTCTTTTGAAAGAAGATGGGATAGTTCAAAAAAAAAACTAGAAGTACAACTGGAGAGCAAAGGAAGCAAGGTAGCTCCAGGGACCTGGGGACTGGCCCCATCGCTGTCAACCTTTCAGTACTGCTGCCTGGCCGAACCCCCTTGAAGCCCATTTTCTGCTCTTGGGTTCCCAGGAGATGGTCTGACAGGTTTGGCAGGAGTGATGGGAGGGCAGGGCTCTGAGACTGCGCTGTACAAACAGGAAGAGGGTAACCTCCCTAAGGACAGTGCGGTGCTGCTAGTGGAAGACAGGAAAGCAACAGTGCACAATTAAATGCACCTGATGTGTCTTTAATTTATAGATAAGCTTAGAATGGGGTAGCCTTTGAAATCCTCATTTCACAAATAGGTCAAGTTAGAGAGGGGCAGGAAGATGGAAACCTATGCAGATCAGCTAATGAACGTAAAAGTGGCCAAATGGTGGTCATTTGGCATATGATCAATCTTTTTTGTTTTGTTTTTTGGCAGAACTGGGAATTGAACTCAGGCCCTTGTGCTTGCCAGGCAAGTGCTTATTCTACTGAGCCATCTCCCTGGCCACTAACCTGTTCTGAAATGGATCTATTTTAAGTATGATTTCCCTGGTTCAGCAAAAAAGAGAAAAAAAGTATGATTATCAGGGCTGTCAAAGCTTCCTATTTCTTTATTT